CCCCCGCCCAGATTTTTCATTACTGTATTTGCAGTTTTATAACACTGCTATAAACGGCTGCATTATAGGAGGTATAATTCCTGTCAGAAAGCAGATTTGCCTCTACTTTGTTGTTGCAGGTTGATTGATGCTTTTTTTGCTAATCCTGAGAGCTGCAGTAAATGGTTTGTGCTCAACTGGTTTGTCAAACAGGGCCAGTCTTTTTTTCTTAATTTCCTAATCTAATGTACTCTGAATAAGGTACGGTCATTCGATACGTTGCCCAGCCATTTAATTCTCACGAAGCCAGCGTTGTTGTGTACAATTTAACATCAATCTTGGTTCTTCGTTGGAACATCTGTTTCCATGTCATACAACAACACTGACCTCACTGAGGCAACGCACAGGTAGATTTTTGTGGGACGTGCTGTTTATTTTTTTGCCCAAGATGTGAGAGGCTACCAAAAGCACTGGAGGCGATGACGATTCTTCTGCTCAACCATGAAATGATGCTGGAGATCAGTGAGCCGAGATACTTCAATGGACTTTCGACTTTCGACTTTCGCGTGTTTTGGTACAGGCCTGCTTTCGCAGCTAAAATATTTAGTCTGATACGATGAACTACGCTTTCCCTCTAGAATGAGCGTTTGAAGAGCATTTTATTACTGTGGATCGTGGCGTTTGGGCTTGAACACTTTTCTGTTCAACCCAATTAGGAGACGCGGTCTTGCGTCCTATCCATTTTAGGCTCTTAGGTAGCACTGAGCCGTGGCCTGCTTAAATAGCCCCCCTGGGCTACTAGAAGCAAGGAAGCGGTGCAATATTGCGATGGAGCAATATTTCCTAGTGTAATATTTTATTCTCCCTTACACCACTGCAGTATCGGCGTGAAGTAAGAAATGAATTTTTCCTTCTTTATACTGTATGTTTTCGCCGTTTGTATTCGGTATCAATGTATGTCAAATATTAAACATTTTATAGTTGTTCTTCACGTATGTTTCTGTGGTTGTTACATATCTTTACAAACATACAAATTATTTTTTTAAATGTTCCTTGAATTTTATGCTGTCCATCCTTTTCGTTTTCCTTAAAGATTGCCTTTAATAAGATTTTCTTGAGTAGCTACGTGGAAGTTTTTTGCTCAGATGCTCAGAGTTTTGTTTTAATAGCATTCTCAAGAGCCGTACTGCATTCGCTACGGCGAAAAAGAAAAATTGAAAAGGATTTTGACAAGAGAGTCGTCGCTAGTAAATTCTCTTTCCGACTGATTGCATGCAGACACACGATTTTGCATATGTTTATCTGTCTATAACGAACTGTTCAGTTACGCTGAGCCATGCGTGAGGAAAACAACACCTCAAAACTGCAAGTATTAATGCACTTTATTTATCATAATCGTAAAATATTGCTAAACATTATACAGTAAGAGTCCTGATAGTATGTTTGCGGCATGGTTACGTCTATGAGTGGACTCAGATTTATGTCAATCGATGCATGCTATCCAATCAGTCAGTTTTCGTTGCTATCAGCATAAATTGATCGTATCGTATCATAACTGAAAACGAGACTGATGGAAGGAAGATAAGAAAAAAGCTTAACGCAGAAAACAAATATCTGTTTATTGTCACTTTCAATGGACGCTAACTCTCCACCTTTTCATGCGAATGGATTTGACGTGAAGGAACATTCTCTTTTTTCTTTTAATCATTTTTGTTTATGAAACATCTCTGATGGTCGCTTCTCTTCTCCGAAAATTGAAACGTCACATTGAAGTAGGAGAACGCCGTGTTACGTCCAAAGCCATTCGTATTCGAAAAGTGCAGAGTTTAGAAAGCAAAGATTTATTTGAATCTTCAGGGCCTCATGAATAACTTGCTTGCAGTTAGCTTGTCAACTTTCCCTCTTTTTCAGGTTGTTTAAGGTCCTGGTGAGAGATAACAAGCGACCTTAATTTTCCTACCGTTCTTTGGAACAAGAATTATCTTAGCTATCATAGAAAGGAGAATATTCTTCAGGGATACTAAGCATTTTATTAAATTGCTGTCAGAATGATTTTGGCGACAACGAATCGTGAATGATTTATGACGTGGAATGCGAATCATATTCTTATTCAGAGTGATGCTGTTGGCAATATCTTAAGTATAATTGCCACCCTAAAAGTTGCCCATTTTCGCGATGTAGTTTAGTCCACTGTTTTTCAGTCACTGTAAAACTTTGTCCTGCAGAGTGATTTTAGATTCGACTGCACTGACGTCACATCAGCCTATTTCCGTTGTACTTGATTTCAGCGGGCGCATAACCGTGGAGTAGTTTTGGTATATTATCGAATACTATCGCTATAAAATGCCGTGTCTGACGGTTTGGAAAAGAATGTTTCGCCATGAACGAAGACGCACGGTATATCCGCACAAGCGGACATCTCTCAGCGAGGTGTTAACATTTTTCATTGTCATTCAAAATGTCGGTGGCTAGTTTACGGTTCCTAAACGAAAAAAATTTTTGAATATATTTTCATTTTTATTTTTGGCCGTTTTATCGCAACAAATCAGGCGCTGGTCTCTGATTTAACTGACCTCATTGTTTTCTCAGACCGCTGGTGGTCAACACCTACTCGTTTATGACTCGGTTGTACCGTCGTACTTTGAGGATACTGCTCAGAACGTGTTGTTGGAAGCTACCTGCACGAACCTTATGACGATTCAGTGTAGCAGGTGTTTCGAGACCGTACGTAATCGTTACGAATAAGCCTGCTTTCAGAATAATTGTATTTTTATAGTCCGATCGTTCCATACACCATACAACTTGACACAATTCGCTTATGCCATTCCGATACGCCAAAATCAGTGTCGTCATCGTTATCCAGCATAGTTTCGAAGTACTTTAAATGGTCTGTTTCCATTGTCATCACGCCGTCCATGTGTTGACAGTGACAGCGGGCTTCCTCTTTAACTCGTGTCCTTAACGTTAACGTTAACTTGTAAGCTCGGTGCCGTGACGATGTGGTACCATTTCCGTGAATACAAGTAGACCATTTGAGTAGCTCAGCAGCACCGTGTCACTAATCTACTGAAGGTCTGTTAAGAACACTATCGGATATCTCGAACTGTATCGCTGGCCTGTAGTCATTTCTTCGTTGTAGTTTAGTGCGACGACGTTCTTCCGGCGAATAGTCTGCCATTATGTTGAACAACAAAGAATGAAGCACATTTCGCCTTGATAAAATCCACTGATGATATTTAACCAATTCGACAACGATCCTTCACTTCAAACGGCATGTTTCGTCCTTTGTACAGACATTCTATCGGGCTTCACATCAACCGTAGAAATTCATGATGTCGAATGACACGCTTTTCTTCATATTTGCTGTTATACAATGGCGGCATTCACTGGACTGATTGAAAACAGATTTTGAGTTCAAAGTAGTGAAATCAGCAAAGAAAACGAATGAGAAATACAAAGAATAATGAAGTATAATTGTTTAGGCGATAGGTTATCATGTTTTTAACAATGAAGAAATTCAGGCGAGACC